TAATAATTCATGTCAGCTGACCTGTTTTAATGGCCAATTCATATGTTCCTGGTAACATTATACAGGTAAGCCGCTGTATAATTATATGACCTCAATTTCAAGTCGATATACAAGACATTTCTAAAAAAATCACAAATGAAAGGTATCACACGCAGTTTCATTATAAAATGCGTATAAATTCTTTAATAAAATTATGTATTTAAACATAATTAATTAACTTGTAAAATGCGAAATAAATACTTCTGTAAATCTCACAGACTTGAATATATTAAAATAAATTTAAATTTAATAAAAAGTAAAATAAAATGATTTTATTCCAGAGCAATTCTTTTTTTTATCCCTGCTACCAGTAACACATTTGAATCCAGTAATCAATACAAATTATTCCTTCTCCAAATTTATTTATATATTGATTATATTTCATCAAAATTGAAAGTAAACGACATGATAATTCCAGCTATTCACTCCAAATGCAAAACAAGTAATAAAATTCATGAATATTCATATTTTTTATCACTCATCCTACGCGATGAGATTTTACATCATAATATATATCATCGTGAATCTTTATAACCCAGAAAACAGTTAAAGAGATGACATTCGAAATAGCCTAGATGTTCTGAATTTGCATTAAAGCAACCCCAGTAGAAATACATCTGAGCTGGAGATGATTTTAATGCAAGCTAAATATTTGAAGCGTAGCTTATGTTAAATAATGTTGAGCCCACGTTCAAAAGGTGCGATTAATATGAGCTGAATATGAGACGATTCATATTAGATTCACATGAATTTTCCATATTGCTAAATGTGAAACGAATATGAGCGATATATGATATGTTTTACATATGATTTTTCCATATTGCTGAATGCGGGATATGTATGAGAAACTGAATATGAGTTTTACATGGTTTATTCATATTGCTAAATATAAGTTTTATATGAGAGTAACAATATATGCGTTTTATATGATTTTTAGAGGTTCTTAGAATATAACATCACAAGCGCGGGCTTTGCCAATAGAAGTGTCAACTTATTAGTGAGCTATTTGAGGTTATATTTCTTGTCAACTTATTAGTGAGCTATTTGAGGTTATATTTCTTTATTTATATTTTATATTACATAATATATATATATATACATATATATATATTCTTCAATCATATTTCAATATGAATCGTAAATCGAGGTTTGCTAAATCAATGGCTATCAAGAGGCATAGAGACGCTATGCTATCGTTTGGAAAAGATAGTTCTAAACTTACGAATGACCTTCTTGGTTGCAATTCTGCCACTAAACCCATTTGTAATGCATCAAATTTAGAAACAGGTGCATTAGAAAAATCTGCAATTTACACAGACTTAATATATGAAAGCAGTGATAGCCGTGATAACAGTGATAGCAGTGTTAATAGTGACTTTTCGGACAGTAATAATGATATTTTATTTTATGATGAGCCAAATCTACCTAATATGCCAAATATTCGACTTGATGATGAGCCAAATCCTATCAGGCAAAACATAGTTGACGAAATTCGATCATGGGCTATTAATTTCAAGGTGAATCATCAACAACTAAATCATTTGTTGCCAATTTTGAAAAAATATGGGTTAAATGACTTGCCATCATCAGCTAAAACTTTATTGAAAACACCCCAACATATACCAATATCAAAGATGATGAGTATTCGTGAAACTGAGGGACAATACGTACATTTTGGCATTGAAAAAAATATTATCAATGTTCTGGAAACAATGCCAAATGATACTTTTGTAAATAATCATATAGAGTTAATAATTAATATTGATGGTCTTCCATTACATAAAAGTACCTCCAAACAGTTTTGGCCTATATTAGGAGCCATATTTTTAAAAAATTGTAAAATAAATCCTTTTCCTATAGGTATTTTTTATGGTGATAGTAAGCCTAAGGATGTTGGAACTTATTTAACACAATTTATATATGATATAAATCATTTATATACTAATGGCATCAATTACCAAAATAAGCTTTTCACCATTTCTTAAGATGTTAGAATTTACCCCACATAAAACAATTTCACATTCCGCAAAGCATTATAATTTGTAACACTAACATTAACATTAAACTTTTAGTAGATGTAATTTATAATGAATACATGGTATATTATTTATCCATATTTATGTAGCCAGGGGCATATATACAAGAGCATAGTTACTTACAATATATGGCATGCATATATTAAATGCATGTGAAGGGACTGGTGCAAAATGAAATATAGATATATACTAAGAGATCCTTAAAGGCACTCACATTATAAAATACAAAGTATATATAATCCATATATCTTAATTTTTTATACTCAATATGCCAAACTTGTAAAAAATTATGAGCTACCATTAGTATCCATTTCCTCGAAGTTCCAATTATCCATTTTCATCACATGCTAGTAGAGAAAGATTTGAAAAAGTCCCATTCTCAGTAAAATTGAGCTTAATTGAGGATGTTAATCCTAATAGGGAAGCACGTGCAAAAATAAAAGTTCTTAAAAATTGTACTTGAAAAATAAGATACGCTCGCCAGAACAAGTTCGAGCCAAATCTACAGTTACATTGTATGGCTCTTAAACCATTTCAACCTTCACCATTGGTGTATTTGCTTGCAATTTCACTTTTCTTGAGCTCGACTGTCTACTATGCACAATATAATAATAATAGAAGAACAATTGCTAACCTCGGCAAGCAATTATATCAGCAGAGAGCCGAGCCAGATCAAATCGAGAGAAGATATTTCATATGTGTTTATACATGCACCATACGGGGAAAACGACTTGTAGTGGTGGATGACCTATGATGAAAGAGAGTTGCCAATAAACTAATGGATAAAAGTTTTTCGATCTTACATAAAAATATCTTCAAAATATTCGAATTACAAAAAGATAATACGGTCTTATACCCAATCCTGATACCTTAGGCAAATACAAATTTCATAAGCGCAGCTATCTCTATTGATAGACAGAAATAAATTCACTGACAAAAAATAAACAAAAAATGGAATATGTTATGTTAACATATTTTTATTAGTTTACGTTATAATTTTATTTATATGATACTAGACACTCCTGCGATTTCATGCATCCGAGTATGAAAATTTACCGAAGTTTCATCGAATACCACAAATTTGCATATGTACTCGCATAAGAACGTTCAGTAATTTAATATTGTATTATATACATTTTGCATATAAAACTGGAAACGATATGGTAAATATCATAGTCTACAATATAGCTTGGTCCTTGGATGAAAATTATTTTCATTTATTTATTTTGCACAATTTAAGAAATGTCCACTGTATTATTTTAATAAAATGAATTATTATATTAAGTTATTGTATATAATCTTTTTTTACCGTGAGTGTATAAAGATTATTATATTGCCAAATCATAATTGATTGAAATAAATTTGCTTTATTTATTTATAATAATAATAGAACGTAAAATCGACACAAATTTATTTGCTCCAATATTGGAAAACGTACAATTACTGTTTGAGATATATGTTGAAAAACAGATATTGCTGTATACTAAATAATACCACAAAATAACAATCCAAAATAAATACCACAAAATATATCAAACCATAAAAAATTCAAGTCTCAGCTAACGGTTAACAACAGGTGAAAGTGAAAGGAAAAGGCGCTACGCAGCTGTTTCAAAATAGATATAAAACAGCATATCGTATATAAGAAACAAAATAAGAAACGACGCATATCTTTCTTGGGAACAGTTACATCTCCCTACTCTAACAATAAGCATTCGCTCAAGAACGAGAAGACTTTGCGATTTAGCGAGATCTATGGTGATTTTCGAATTTTATTCATGTTAACATAATATATTCCATAATTTAATTTTTTTGTGGGATATCATATAACAGCAAAGTCTTAATTAAAAAATATTGAACTATTGAATGCGCGAATCTTATGAATTAGTATTCAGAAATAAAGAACGATCTTGGTTTTGACAAAAAAAAACAAACTAGGAAGTACAGCTGAGGAATATTTTCAACATTTCTTCATTCTAATTATCTCCTTGATAGGTTTATTCATCTCATGTTTCCAAATAAAAAAAACTCGGTCGATTTTCACCTACATATTTGCAACATCACATAGACCATGCATAAACGTTGTTCCATTGTTTACAGAATAATTTCACGATTTATGTTAAACCTTGAAAACGTATGATTCATATGCTTTAATTCTAAAAACAATTGTTCAAGAAACTTCATACTATGTACTGTTTGTTATTTGTCTAAATTTCCATATGTAGACTTTCCAATCTGAGAAAAGCTTCCCTTATAAAATAATTTTATGAAGTTACTGAGGAAATCAGCACCCGAACGATAAATCTATTTAATTGAACGCAATTGATACTCAAAGGTATTTATTTATTCTTGAAAAATAGCGGTTAAATCATTTGTTTAGTCTCGACCACCGCGAAAGTAATGCAAACCTCCAATATTCAATTTGCAACATGAACGAAGTTAATGATGATTAATTTCCCTATCTATTTCTATCCTCTCACCGTGATGAATTAAAGAAAATATGCGCAAATCACCGCAATAAAACAGTACGCGTGCGAGTGGAGCACATATAAACGGTAGGAAATAAAATTATAAGCTTCATGTATGATGGTCGTAATTAACGCGCACTAGTAACATATTTGCATGACTCACATCAAATAATTTATATAAGAACTTTCACTTTGCGCAATTTATCGGCTTTGATATACCGTCGCGGAACAATTATTTTTCAGCATACTTTCAAACTAACTTAATCTTCGAACTAGTTATGAAACATCATCACACACTAAAAATGGAATATCGTAATCAATTCAGTGTGAAGAGTAATGATTCAGTGTAATAAAATAAAGTAAAATCTGTATAATATAATATAAAAGTTTATATTTAAAATATATTCATCACAATTTATATTATTTATTTAGTTATTTTAATTCAAACATGTTGTGGAAGCTACTTTGATTTAGAAGTACTATCTTCTTTATTTTCTTCTTCAGTCTTTTCATCACAGGATTCCTCTTCTGATTCTGTTTCTTCATAATCCTCATCTTCATCTGATCCCTCTTCATCTTCATCATCTTGAGCTGAATAACCAGAATATCCGTAACACTCTACTGGAGCATAACCACCTAAAAATGGTTAATTTTATCTTACTGTATTTCTGTTTATTACGATACTTGAACAGATGCCTGTGCATTTTCACACTTACTTTCATTAGTAGTTCCACTATAATATCCATAACTATAATCCTCATCATCTTCAGGTCCAGCTTGGCCTTGCCGACCAAATTTATGACTACGAGCTACATAAAATGATTAATATACCATTTAAAATCATTGATATATGAATATAAATATACTTACTCGACATGCTAAGATCTTTAGTCTGTGAAGTATCATAATTGCACTTAGGACATGGAATTGGTTTATTTTTATCATATTTGAAACCTTTGCGTTTCACGTGATCATCACAATAACACGTTTTGCAACGCAAACAAGAATATTGACCTAAACGATTGCATGATTGACCTAAAAATCATGACAATATTATAGAAATGTGACAATGCATACAGGTAACAAATTATGGAACCATTGAACCATGATCAAACAATAATAATAATTTTGAATTAAGGGTAAAATTATTATGTATACATCAAAACAAATGTAAATACTGCAACAGAAATAGATTCTATAATCTATTTCTTCTAAATTAGAAGATTATTTTTCGTTATATATTATGGATATAATATATATATAAACTTGAGATATTGACTAATGCGAAAACGGAAAGAATTTCCATACGATTGTGTTAATCATGTTCCAATAGAAACCTAATGTAACTAATGATACCAACATTTAAAGTTCTCCGATTCTAATACTTGACAAGAGGCCTGGTGTTCAAATTGATCATCCTCACATAAGAAGTTGGAACAAAATGAGCAACGAAACATTCGTCCACCATGATCCCATACACTGCGTTCACATTCAATACAAACAGCATCTTGTAATGGACAAGAGCAAGCATGTGTCTGTAAACATTTTCGGCCATGGCAAACCCAAGCTTCACAAAAGTCGCAAATAGCTCCAACCATACCAAGACCTGTTGTAAAAACGCCAGCATGGCGAATAACACAATCTCCAGTTTTTAACATACATTTAACTTTGCCACATTGAGCGCAAATTGGTAAACGTTGCACGCTCTGGCAAAAATAACAAAACGCTCTAGATTTTTGTTTTCTAAAAGACATATAAACAATTATTTATCTAACAAAATGAAAAATACATGAAAATATTTGCATAAATTAGCTAGGAGCTATACATTATTCTATTAAATACTATATAGACAATAAAATAAATATATAATATAATACTTCTAAACAAAACCTAACCTCTGGCACTTCTCGCATTCCATGGGGGCATTGCATGGAAATTTAGCTAAGTCCATATTATCTTTAGCCATACGAATTTCTTTTTGACGGAGCTTTTGCTTCTCCGCCTTTTTTCTTTGTCCAGTTTTCTTTTTCGGCATTTTTACACTATTTTTTATTCACTTATTCACAAATTAAAGAACAGTGAAATGACATATGTGGTTCGATTTGACGTATAAGTTTGTGCGATGCGAACTGCGGTAAGAGAGAGGCCAAGCTACCAACGTAACAAAACCGCAAAGGAAAAAAAAAATTCAACGCATTAACGTTAAAATTTAAAAATAATGATATAACGAGTTTAAACATAAAAAATAAAGAATAAAAATTCAGTGTATATATAATAAAGTTACCTATAATCAACACTTTATATATTTCTTACAAATTTTATTATTATTAGCCTAGCCATTTGCTCAAACTTCAGCACGTTTATTGTTGAAAACTTCATTATACAACTTAATTTGGTTTGGTTTATTTATCAATTGTTGTTTGTTTGCTACACATTGAACAGGAGATTATTGCTCTTATTTTATTACAAAGTATTTACGTTATGTACGTTGTGTTTTTTTGAGCCTTCTTCATAAAGTTTTCCAAGTGAAAATGAAGAAATAGATAAACTAAAGAAGAAAACATGGGAATTGAAAGTCTGGGCACAGGACACCATTTGACACAAGCAGGATTTATAGAAATAAAGTGTGAATAAACCAGGAAAAAAGAAGGGTAAGTGAAATGTGCAAGGCACCAATAATATATATTGATAATCTCTAGTACAGTAAATGAAAAAAGTTATAATAATTGAAACTTATCTTTTTTGAACATATAAGAACCATACGTAAAAGCAACCTATTTTTTTATATATGTTATCATGATTTCTTATCCCGACCCATAGGCTGAAAAATTGATCTCTAGTTGTTGACATGTGATGTCTCTCACAAAATAAAGCTAGTCCAAATGACGTTGCCGGAGTCGCCCTCGTCCGCGAGTTTTCCCACAAGGGAAAAAGTCAATAGTATTGTGCAAATGTTATATTTCTGAGGCACATAGCCATACAGTATGCATGTGTAAGCGACTCACTAGGAAACTTAATCACACGCTGTGTGATCATGTTTTCCTAGCGATATGTGTAGGTTTTCAGAATTGATATTGTGATTATCTATATAAATATAGAGTCTTCAAACATGCAACATTTTTTACCATAATTTGGAGAACATCTTTTTAATTTACTCTTATGACATATTATTTGCTATAAGCTGATGATTACCAAATCTAAAGTTAAATAAAATTGTCTTCTTCCAATTTCAATTCGTATTTCGATGCATGCAATTCTAAAAATTGAGACTAATTAATTAAGCTCTAAGAATTACTTTTCCGTTAGTTCTTCAACCTCTTGTGAAAATATACACCAATTTAATATCCCTACTATATTTTTGCTTTGATATTTGTAAAGTGAAATGCTGGCCGTTTCAAAATGTCCTGAAAATTCACTAAAAATAAGAAAGCGATCTACTAAAGCACGAAGCTGTAAAGCTGCTTCATTTTATAATGAAACTTTTCAATTTACTACCCTTACATGATCGAAAATTAAATGGTCGAAAATGTTACAATATTAAAATTTTTTTTTAAGGCTCTATGTTATTTCTGATTCTAATATACTGATTTTGATAAAACAATACATACTCTACAATCAGAACTTGAGAGTCCTATGAGCTATTGTGATAATACTTCTTAATATAATATCAAAAGGTCTTTTGATGGCATTCATAATATGCAGAATATGATTAAAAAAAAATTGGTCAATAATTTTTGAATTCAACCCATCTATATACGGGTAGGTACTATAGATTTATTTCAAATTTCAAACATTATATTATAATATGAAAAATCTGCTTCCATTAATATTATGAGGAACATTTAATGCCAATGCCAATATAATTAATTTAATATTCAGCTAAATAAGTACGTTTTTTAAAGTTGAATGTAATTTTTTAATATTGCAATATTGGAATATCTCTGTAAATAGCTACGTCTTTATTGATTTATAAAATTATAAGGATTTATCACACGACAATGCATATAAATAAAAATAAGTAAAGTTAGTCTTTAAGCAGCCTGAAGAGTTAGTTATATAAATATTTGTACCACAACTTTGAAAATACAATCAATCTATTAATATTACTATCATAATATAAAAAAAATCATTTGCGATTTCTGTGGAAAAAAATTCAATATAATTTACTATTAAATTAGCGCATTACGTGATCTCAATTATATAACTAGAAGAGAGGAATACGATAATTTACTGCTTTTTTATTATACTACATTACACTTCTATTTCTATAGAAAATAATTGGTAAGCGTCACTTCCACGTTTGATTATTTCGTTTATTTGCCAAGCACTTTATTGCAATATTTCATATCAGGGACATCGATCTGTATGTTTAGTCAATAATAGACTATTTTTCAGTAGATTTTTTTTATGAAATCAAATATTGAATGAAAATGATGGTTATTTGCTGAAGGCAAAATTATATAATCCGTCATATACGATTTTTTTCAATCGATTAACAATTGTAAACCAACTTTAAAAACTTTTATATTCGATTGAATTTTTAATTTGTTTAGTTATTAATGTATTTATCTTTCAATTGCTAGTTTTTTCCCATTAACAGTCAAAATTTATATCGGCTCTATTTTGTATTTGTTTTATTTTGTTTTAGAATAAAAATCATAGCTTTTATGAAAACATTTAACAAATATTTTTGAACAGACATGATTTGAAACAATAACTCAATTTTCTTTATGTAAGTGAACGTTACGTAAAAATCTAAATGAATATTGGCAGATGAAAATCTGAACATGTTTTCCGACCAAAACAAAACAAACAAAATTCCATTCAACGTCGCAATAGTTACAAGATTACAATATCGAAAACATTTGCAGGCGATGGACAGCCGGCAATCCCCATTATCGGCATTTCCCTATTATCCACGAAACGGTCACAAAGACACAGTCTACATTGAAAGTATAATTTAGAGGAAATAATCCAAATGAATGCATCGTATTTTAAAGTCAAAGTATAATATAATTGTTTTTGTTGTTTTAGAGCATCAAAACTATTGCATAATATTAAGCTGCATTTCAACATCGCTATCTAATTTATAAGCTCTTATATTTTGTCTATAAAGTACGAATAATAAAAGTTAAAAAAGTCTTATTAATCATTTAGTATTTTTTATTGATTATTCAATAATATTCGTTGACTGATTAATTACGGTACGGAAAGTTCCAGCAATTTGCCTTGAAGCTCAATAGCAGCTATACAGAAAACCCCTATTTTCTAATAATCATTTCAGTAATCATCATCAGTAATAATTTTTCATCACTTTTCAGTCAATAAATGAATATTTTTTTATTGAGTTTTTATTTTTAATTGGGAGTTCCAAGAACGTCTTTGTTAGAAAGCAATGATGATTTCTGAAATATAGTATTTATTTTTAAAATTGAACGTTATTAAAAGGCAGAACAACGGTTGCCTTCTAATTGGGATATTGCAGCAATACCCGAAACATTGATTCCACTTGATAATGTATTACCAGCTAATTTTCAAGTAAAAACCGATGTCACTACTGCTTGGCATCAGGTTGTCCGAGACCAAACCCGTGATTCTAAGTGCTTAGCTCTAAAACCACTGAACTATTTGGAATCCCAATTTAATATAACAAAACGGCATTATTTTGATAAAAAATAGAGCAATTAAAAGAAAACTACAAGAAACCGTTAATTTCTGTACCCACGGAAAAATGACCGAAAGAATGTAATAGTAGTTGTGGTTTTAGTACAGAAAATACAATTTGAATTGCTTTTTTGTGGTTTGAAGACACTTGTAAATAAAGATGAACAACCCAAAACTTATGAAAAGACCAATTCTAAACTTTGATTTGGAAAATTATTTAATTTATTTATTTATTTATTTAATATGAAAATTACGTTTCAAAATACTATTTATTATTATTGCAACTAGAAATCTGCAATACATACTGGTAATATATCCGTCTATGTACACCTGGGTAATTTACATAATCGACAAAAATGCGCCTAATTTATTTTAACTAGCCTATTCCTGCCTAGAAATAAATTTAAATTCATCGTAAGCTGCAAAGTTAGAAATACAGTGAACACTTTCAATCCGAGGATAGGGCCCCCTATTATATATTGCTCCTGTCAGTCCGCTACGAAGGCTACGGAGAAACAATAAAAGCCCCGCACAGCGTGGATGGCGCTAAGCTCAGCTGGAAATCACAATTGACACAGTTACACCCACTCGACGCATTCGATCATTTAATTAGTGAACTTATTTGTGCGATACGAAAACCTACGCATTTTCAAAACTCTATCATAGATTAAAACACTAATAGAAAAACTCATAGGGGGTGGAAATAGTCACATGTTCTCTGTCCTGTATCACTTCTTAGGGAAACTTGCCTTGGAAATATAATGCAATTTCTCAAAGATTGTTGGGGTGCTGTGGCTCGAATGCAGATTTGTAGTCCAAAAGCTTTATAGTTCACTTTATCAAGTTTCTGCATTTTCTCTTTTCTCATAAGTCGTCAATATTAAGGGGCACAACTAGTGTAACCGTCTAAGAAAAGGTGATTTTTGGGAATTTATATTAAAAAACTACTTTATCAATCATTTCAAAATTTTAGGAATATATTTATACATGTTTTAAGAATACATAGTAAAGTTAAAAGAAGAAAAAAATTAAATATATATTAAAGAGAAATTATTAGAATATATTAAATATGACGATAAATAAGTTATCGTCGATCTCCAACGGCTCGACAAAAAAAGGCCCATCACTGCTGCAGTTATTCCGGCCTTCTACGTGGATGAAATATTTTAAAAAAAAATTCTCGTTAAACTAGATAATATTGTCTGTAAAATGAACTACGATAAAGAAAAAAATCAAAAATTGACAAAATGACGGAATTTTTTTAAAAAAAATCGAATTTTACCCAAAATTTTGGTCGTTTTTGGACTGCCAAAATTCAATTTTTGATCCGATAAAAAAATCGATAGTTCATTTTACAGAGAACTATATATAGAACATGTAAAAAAAAATTGATAGTGATCGGATCATTTTTTTTTGAGTAATCGCTGCAGCAAATTCGGAAAATGCTGT